GAATTCTTGCACAAAGTCTTGAAATCTGATTCCAAAAAACAGGATAGTTCTGAAAGCGTGCTTCTGCCAATTTAAGGGCACGCCCAGTAAGTAATCCAAGGATATATGAAATCTTAGCATCATCAGAGCAAAAAGCCTGGGGTGAATGGTTAAACACTAAAGAACACTGGAGGAGAAMACCCCTGCAATGGTCTACATCACCTGAAAACTTCTCTGGAGTTGGAGTGGAAATATCACGGAAGGAGGAAGGACTCTGTGAGACCTGAAGGGCAGTTGAGACCTCTGGTGGCTGAGGTGGGGAACGACTGGTGGAAARTTCCTGTAACACAGAAGTTAAATGTTCCAAGGTCTGATTGGTAGCATTCTGTTGTTCAGAAAGTGAACGGAGTACAGACTCATGTGAATGGATYAAAGTAGCCTGTTCAGCTATTGTTCTCCTGAGAGCCTGTGTTGGGTCAAATTGGCCTGAGTGTCCTGTCTTGGTTTTAGTTAGGCTTCTGACCCACATGCAAGAACACTCTCAGAAGAATTAAATCAGTGAAATACAGTTTATTACAAACAATTGCRAAACGTGCAAGGTGGGGGTTTCCAGGGGTGAAGACGATGAACAGGAAGACTGCAACAGAGAAGATGATTAGATCACAAAGGCTGGGAAATGAGGGGGAGAGCGACTGAAAGAAATATTGTTCTCACAGTGGTTGGATGAAGCGCTGCCATGGAGGAGTAAGAGGATTCCGGGTTGGTTGGTTGTATGCAGTAGAAATCTTGTTGAGGAGGTGGTAGTAGGGTGAGAGGGGGCAAACACCAGATGACAGAGGCTGCAGCACTGTTGGAAGGCAGACAGGCAGTAGCCTTTTGGTTACCAGTCATGAAAATCTGAAGTCCAGAGGGTTTTGGTTGGAGGATCTGATTAGGCCGGTCCAGGAAAGAACAGGAGATGACCATCAGCAAACACAGGAAGTCTTTAAAGGAGAGAGAGAGAGCAAGGAGTACTTGGGATTAACCACAAATAAATTCTAAAAAGGCAAAACTGTAAGGCTTGGAGTTACCACAATGGTTAACAMTCAGGCGTCGAATGACTGGTAACCAGCTCCTTTTAAGCAGGGTGAGATGAGGCTGATGAGCTGCAGGTGTGCAGCAGCACAGCTGCTGAAGATGAACCCACAGTCCTGCAGCAATTGTCTTTTGGCTCCCTCTAGTGGACTCCTGGGAGAATACACACTGTACACACACACACACACACACAAAACACGAGTCTGGTTTCCTGACA